CCTGCTGAGTGCACAGATTAATTCAGAAGATTAATGACTGTCTGGCTGTTCCCTTGCAAATCATTCATTATTACTTAATTAAAAGTCACAAAGCTTTTCTGCAATGCATGGTGTTATCATCTACTCCTAATTTAACCTCTAATATTTAGATACATGCTTTATTTAATTTGTTTTGCAGGAGGCTGCCAAATATGAAAAGAAAGTGATGGTGTTGGACTTTGTCACTCCTACGCCTCTGGGAAACTCATGGGGTAAACTTCTCTTTCTTGCAAACCTGTCATAAAGGAGCTTTACTCAGAGACTCTGATTCTCCTTTGAGATCAGCCACACTGATGTGAAAAGCATATTCTGCTCCTTTCTCTCAGGTCTTGGAGGAACATGTGTAAATGTGGGCTGTATACCTAAGAAATTGATGCACCAGGCAGCTTTACTGGGACAGGCCTTGGAAGATTCACGCAAATTTGGATGGCAGTTCACAGAAGAAGGTAAAGGAGGAGAACACTTTTTTGCAGTTTTGTCATTTGTGCTGAAAATCCACGGGTTCTTTTCACAATCGAGTGCTCCTGGCACTTAAATGTGCTGGCTTTAACAGTGTCAGGCAACTTCAGAGAGGTTATTTATAAATTTAAGTGCTTTTCAAGTCTAAAGCCAAGGGCCTTGCAGTGTTTGATCTGTTTATTAATAACTTCTGATCATCTGGTCATGTTAGCATTTGATAAGATTACTGTGTGAATAAAAACAATAAGGTACTCCTCCATTTCTGAATGTAACACAACATCTAAGGAAATATCCCAGAACGTCCCCTGTTAGAAACTTCCTCATAATTGCAGGCAAGGATTTCCTTTCCCTCAGTCTCTGTCACTGCTACATAAGAAAAATAATTTTATTTTAGGTCTAATAAGCATGGGACTTACGGGGTTTGTTTAGGGTGTAACTGTGTAGCGAGAAACATCCAGAGGCACCTCTCTGAGGTGCATAGACTTCCTTTGGTGAGCAATGTCACCTGCTCACAGCATGCATCAGTAATGCAGTGTCCAAGTTTTCTACGTTTTAAGTCATTTCTCTTCAGCTGTGGCCTCTGATGTTGACTATGCTGATGTAATTCTTTGAATCTCAGTAGAGCTACTGTGGAATAAAAAAGGAATAAGACAAAGGTGGACTGTTCATGAAAAAAAAATGTCTGAGAATACAAGGTTCGCTATGGAAAAAGAAGAACTCACAGACTGAAAGATGAACTTTTCTTTTTTTTCTGACAGTTGAACACAACTGGATGACTATGACGGAATCTGTTCAGAATTACATTGGTTCACTGAACTGGGGCTACCGGGTTGCACTGAGGGAGAAGAAAGTCACCTATGAGAATGCATATGGGGAATTTGTTGCGCCACACACAGTTAAGGTAGTCCCTAGCCACGTTTCCTGGGTCTTCCTATACTATGTTCTGAATAGAGATGTTTTTCAAATAGAGTATTTTTTCCCTTGGTGGGACTGCAAAATACTCACTTTGGACTAATACTTTGTCCACAGGCAACAAATAAAAGAGGAGTTGAGAAGCTGTACACGGCAGAGAGGTTTCTCATTGCCACTGGTGAACGACCGCGCTACCTGGGTATACCTGGAGACAAGGAATACTGCATTAGCAGGTAAAAGGAGGAGGAATATGGAGTCATTCACCACGTGCAAATACTTCACCTGGAAGAGAAAGTGGTGAAGAGTGAGCAGAGTTGCTTGGTTGCTGGTTTTCTTTCTTATGTAATTTTTTATTAGGGGAAAGTAACCTCAGGAGAGTAGCTATAGACAAGTTTTAAGGGGTCAAAGACCTTGGTGTCTAGTAGATGTGACAGGACTGTGGGTGGCTGCCTGGGACAGTTCTATTTCTGACTGATAACAGCAGCAACCAATACTGTAAATCATGTGCTTATCCATCAGAAAATTAATTCATCAGCTCTGCCCCAGTTACCAGTTCACCCACTTCCTCTCTATCCCTTATGGTGTCTCAGTTCATGTACTCAAGTGTTTTTGGTAACAAAGAGCACAATCTGCTTGGAAGAAACCTCCCTGCTCAAATACCAAGGAAGGCGAGAGTTGCAGAGCAGCGGATGTTGTGAAGCCGGTAAAAATGGATCTGGCTTCATGTGTTGGGGAAGCCTTGAACCCATTTTTTTTCCAGGTACTCAGTGAAGTTAATTCACCTCTTGGGAAAAGAGGTTTCACATGTTTGGTAAATTGGTAAGACCAAGCAATTTCTAGCACAATTGTGCTCCCCCTAAAAGTGATAGGTGGGTGAAATGTGTTTTTGTATCAGAGTAACTTTGAAATTACTTAATATAGAAACAGAGGTTGGTATTGCAGGCTTGCAAACTGATAGCAATGAAACACATAACTAACGTAATCCCTGTGAAACTAAAGCACCATGTCGTATGTTTCCCTTGTAATAAGTAGTAATGAAATTAAAAGTGACAGATTAAAAAACCTGTAAAGTGGTGCTTTAAAATAACATTAAGGTGGAAGATTTTTTTTAAAGGCTATCAGACTAAGGCTGTCTGTGGAATCCTCACTGGATGCAGGAACTAGGATATAGCTTTTAATTACACAATCACTTTTATTCCACCACAACATTTGCAGAGACCATCTTTGTACAGCCTTTGCTGTCATCAGCTGAGAAAGAGGCACTTATTTTAAATTTAAATCTTTGGGGAACTTCTTTACCAAACTCTGCCTAAGTCTCTGCTGAGCAAGCGCGATGCCTCCGTGAGTCCCTGAGTTTTTGGGAAGCCCTAGTTTTGCAGTCTAGGCTCAAAGTGTGGTGGAACTGGCATAGCTTGATGAAGCAGTTGAAGGAAACGGAAAGCAGGCACATAAGCATGTTTTCCGTAATTTCGTGCTTCTATCTCTCTCTGTTACTGTGGTTTGCATTAATGTATTTTATTGTCTGTCTGTATTTGGCACAGTGTATAATGCTTTAGCAAAAGGATAAGTCTTCAAAGAAATGAAGGTGGTATTTTTATATTAAAGCTTAAAGCTAAATGTCTTCCTCTTCCTTTTAACTCTCAAGAGCTAAAATTTGCAGCAAAGTATTTGAAGCAAGATTCAGAGAAAAAACCCCAACAGCTTGTATTTTTTAAACAATTTGTCATAATCTTCTGTAAAAAAACACCTCAAACTTTCTGTGGTGACTCAGAATTTTGGTACTCTTTTTTTAAGTGTGCTCCAAATTAGAATTTTTTAATTTGTCATGTACCGATCTTGTATTCCAGCTGAATTTCCCCCAAAAATGAGTTGTGATTTTGAGGGAGTAGGAAGAGGAATAAAGTCCTATTCTTACAGAATAAATTAGATAAATATAAACCACAATGTCTTCTGGTTAGATAAATATAAACCACAATACATTCTTCTGGTTGTCTCTGACTTTCCTTTCTTTTTTCCTTTTTTTTTGTTTTTTTTACCAGTGATGATCTTTTCTCTCTGCCTTACTGTCCAGGGAAAACCCTGGTGGTTGGAGCTTCCTATGTTGCCTTGGAATGTGCAGGATTTCTTGCAGGTCTTGGATTAGACGTCACTGTAATGGTGAGATCCATCCTCTTAAGAGGATTTGACCAGGATATTGCAAACAAAATTGGAGAATATATGGAAGAACATGGAATCAAGTTTATTAGGGAGTTTGTGCCAATCAAGGTAGGCTCAAAGTGGTATATGAGAAAAATTGGTTGCAATAAACCTATATATTTTTTCAAGATGTAAATTATTTTAGTGAATATAAAGGTTGAATTTGCAATACAGGATCTGCCACAATGTAGTATGGATCAATTTTTGTTTCAAACTGACTAAGTGCATGAATCTTATGTAATTGAAAGGTACAATTTAGTGTTAGAATTTTGTGAGATTCCAGAATTACTTTTTTTTGGCTAGAATTAGATGGGTCAGTGTATGTTGCATTAAAAATGTTGCTACTCCTGCACCTTCTGGTTCTGCAAATGTTGAATATGCCTAAATTCAGCAGTTGTACTAAAACCTGTGAAACTTCTTGCAGGCTTATAATTAGGCAGATATTTAATTTCCTGTAAGATCAGAGCCAATACATCACAAATAATCATACTTTTCATCACCAATTCTCAAATCCTCAGCCAGCAAATACTGCTTATGTGCCCAGGACCAGTGGACTATCCACACAAGTAAATGGGCTTTAGAAGTATCCATCTCTAGCCTTCACTTGGCAGTCTTTAAATACTTGCTCAGTTTTTGATGAATTCAGTAGGAGTACTCATGCAGCTAGCTATGTACATGTACAGGCAAATTTAGGCTGAGAAGCAGATAAAATCTGGAGCTTTTCTAATGTAAAATTGCCTTGTCAAAGACTTCAGAGGATGCTAACAGTATTTTGCTTAATGTTTTTTCACAATAATTAGTGCTTAATTGTTATGAAATGGGAAATACCATATTAAGCAGTTTTCAAGTTGGCGTTAAGCCAGCACGTTTCTGAATTTAACGCTTTGGGGATTAAAGCAATAAATCGAGTGATGACTGTTCGTTTTCACCCTTAGCAATGTAAAGAGTTGCTTAAAAATGCTCTTGACCCTTTCTCACAAGAGTGTAATAGATTTGTCGTAAGAAGTCCAAAGTGGACGTTCCAAGGACCTTTTTTTTAATGCATGTTTGTGTGGCAGAAGTTCCAGGTATGAGAAGCAGGGATGGTTCTCAAGCTTTTGTTTTAAATAGAGCTTTTTGTGGGCTCTAATGGGAGGTGAGAAAGAGGGAAGCTGTTCTTACAAGCAGATCATTTCAGCTGATGGCAGGTGGGCTTCTCTGCATGCACCCTGCGAAGAGCAGCCCATCACCTTGCTCACAAAAGGCACTTCTGTGTATTTTACCCCATCTCTTCACTACACGTCTTTGACTTCAATAAAATATTTGGCCCTGTTTCTAGATGAGACTATCCTTAAACTTAAATGGCAAATGGATATGTTTTTTAGCAAGTCCTCTCATCACTTTCAAACATTGTTTTTGAAGTTATGCATGTTGTGCTCATTAAAACCCTTCATTGGGATGTTCGAAGACAGAAGATGAATTATTTTAAATAATGCTGCCTTTGAACCAGAGCAGTTTAACACAGTGATCCTTTACAGCTGATAGGATGGTATAGGAGGTTTGGACTTTTTTAAATTTTTTTTTAAACTAAAGCATAGAGGAAAACAGAACTTTGTCAGAAACTTTTTCTGTCTCTGAGTACTGAATATGAAATAGGAACTAGGGCAGTTGTTGAAAAGTGCTTTTTCATCCGTAGAGAGGACACTAGAATTTCCCAGAGAAGTGTGCAACACTTAACAGGTCTCTTGCAGGAAGCAGCTGGGCACCCACCGTTTCTCAGAAGGGCAGGTGAGGGATTGTAGCTGAGGATACGCAACCCTTTCCTCACAGTCCAGTGAAAATTAATGAGGACAAAGAAAACCTCACCTACGTAGCTTCAGATTCGCTATACTTGTTTAATTGATTTATTTATCAGGAAGAAAGAGCGTTTGGTAAAAAAGCCAGTGGTATTGTTCTTTCTGCTTTGTTGTTTTCTGGTATGTGGCGTGTGGAAGGGGGTGTATTTGGGTTTTGTTTTAAATCTTCATATTTTTGTTACTCTGAGCAAAGAGCGTAGTTGCAAAAAGATTCTCCTTTGCTGCTTTTTTATTTCTTTCTTGCTTTGCTAGAGTAGACAGTAAGCTGCGTTACTTGAGAGTGTGCAGCAGAATCCACAGCTAAAACTAGGAAAATTTATTTCAGCTGACTTCAGGGAACTCCGAAGAGTTGGTTTTTTTTCTTAAGTTGATGATGCATTTTGGGCCATTTAGAGCCAGCTGCTGCCCTCTCCTGCAAAGCCACGGCAACGCTGTACGTTGAACTAATGTCTCTGAAACGGGGCAAAGGCCTGGACTGGGGAGCACTGGGCTGTGACAGTGGCTTCCCGTGGGTGGAAGGCACGGTGGTCCTCTAAGTGCAGGTGGAAAACATGTCTCGACCTTTCCATGTCCTCCTTACCTCCTCTGTCCCCAGGTGATACCAGCAGCTCATGCAGAGGACTTGGTCAAGAACTTAGCTATCAATCAAGCTTTATAAACAGAAATGGGGTCTTGTTGTGTTGGACAGAAGAATAAATGCATGGAGATAAAGCAAAATGTTGAAGTATGCAAGTAGTAGTCACAAATGTAGAGAAAGGTGAAAATATCTTCAGAATAAATGCTAAATTTTAGGTCATGGTTAAACATGCTCGATAAGATATGTAGGGGAACAAAGATACATTTACATGTCTTTATTTGAAACTAAACTTTTTTTTATTATTTAAAATGTAGGTTGAGCAGATTGAGGAAGGAACTCCTGGCAGACTGAAAGTTACAGCCAAATCCACAAAGGGGAACGAAATAATTGAAGGGGAATACAACACTGTGAGTCCTGTCTATATACATGAAGAATGTGTAATAGCCTTCCATTTAGCGTTAAGATTTTGTGGAGTATTGTTGTCCATACTTTAGATTTTTGAAGATTATTTTAAAGATTACAATGTGCTAATTGCACACAATCAACAGGTAATTATTATGACAGAAGTCCCAGAATCCATGGGCATGAGTCCCGTGTACCTTGCTAAATCACTTGCACGCTTTTGAAACCTGTTTCTTAGCTTAAGGATGTAGATGAGTTTGGTCATGTGAAATCAGCTGCAGGATTTTTCCCCAGTGGGATATTTGTCATAAATGATAAGTAATAATTTATAATAGCTTTCACAGTAACTAAGACTTATTTTAGAGTTATCACAAAACGATAGTCTGGATAAGAGCTAAACAGACAGGTGTGATGTCTTCACCTCGAGCCCTGTGTGCAGTTCTGGGCTCCTCGCTTCAAGAAAGACCTTGAGGTGCTGGAGTTGGTCCAGAGATCAACGAGGCTGGGGAAGGGACTAGAGGGAAGGTCCTATGAGGAGAGGCTGACGGAACTGGGGGGGTTTAGCCTGGAGAAGAGGAGACTCAAGGGGCACCTTATCACTCTCTACAACTGCCTGAAGGGAGGTTGTAGTCACGTGAGGGTTGGGCTCTTCTCTCGGGCAACTGGTGACAGGACGAGAGGGCACGGCCTGAAACTGCATCAGGGAAGGTTTAGGCTGGATCTCAGGAAACACTTCCTCATGGAGAGGGTGCTCAGGCA